AGTGTTTCGTTTATTGTGTGTGTTTGTGTGTGTGTGTGTGTGTGAATGACGTGGTGTCTGTTGATTGTGTTGTTTGTTAGTGTTTTTGAGAGGTTATTTTGTTGAGTGTAGTTGTGCAGTTGTTTTTGTTCCTGAAAGCGCAGAGACGCACTAGCGTTGTCTGTCGTCGCATTGGGAACAAGAGAGAAGGATGATTCCATATAGTGGGTGAGATGGCAATGATGCTGTTTCAATGTGGGATCGTAGAGTTGTATGGCGAATGATGAATTGAAGTGATAATGTAATGTGGTATTGATGATTGTTTGTGTTTCTAGCGACGTGTTTGTTTGCGTGATAAGTGTAAGAGGGTTTAGTTTATTGTGTGTGTTTGTGTGTGTGTGTGTGTGTGAATGACGTGGTGTCTGTTGATTGTGTTGTTTGTTAGTGTTTGAGAGAGGTTATTTTGTTGAGTGTAGTTGTGCAGTTGTTTTTGTTCCTGAAAGCGCAGAGACGCACTAGCGTTGTCTGTCGTCGCATTGGGAACAACAGAGAAGGATGATTCCATATAGTGGGTGAGATGGCAATGATGCTGTTTCAATGTGGGATCGTAGAGTTGTATGGCGAATGATGAATTGAAGTGATAATGTAATGTGGTATTGATGATTGTTTGTGTTTCTAGCGACGTGTTTGTTTGCGTGATAAGTGTAAGAGGGTTTAGTTTATTGTGTGTTTTTGTGTGTGTGTGTGTGTGAATGACGTGGTGTCTGTTGATTGTGTTGTTTGTTAGTGTTTGAGAGAGGTTATTTTGTTGAGTGTAGTTGTGCAGTTGTTTTTGTTCCTGAAAGCGCAGAGACGCACTAGCGTTGTCTGTCGTCGCATTGGGAACAACAGAGAAGGATGATTCCATATAGTGGGTGAGATGGCAATGATGCTGTTTCAATGTGGGATCGTAGAGTTGTATGGCGAATGATGAATTGAAGTGATAATGTAATGTGGTATTGATGATTGTTTGTGTTTCTAGCGACGTGTTTGTTTGCGTGATAAGTGTAAGAGGGTTTAGTTTATTGTGTGTGTTTGTGTGTGTGTGTGTGTGTGAATGACGTGGTGTCTGTTGATTGTGTTGTTTGTTAGTGTTTGAGAGAGGTTATTTTGTTGAGTGTAGTTGTGCAGTTGTTTTTGTTCCTGAAAGCGCAGAGACGCACTAGCGTTGTCTGTCGTCGCATTGGGAACAACAGAGAAGGATGATTCCATATAGTGGGTGAGATGGCAATGATGCTGTTTCAATGTGGGATCGTACAGTTGTATGGCGAATGATGAATTGAAGTGATAATGTAATGTGGTATTGATGATTGTTTGTGTTTCTAGCGACGTGTTTGTTTGCGTGATAAGTGTAAGAGGGTTTAGTTTATTGTGTGTGTTTGTGTGTGTGTGTGTGTGAATGACGTGGTGTCTGTTGATTGTGTTGTTTGTTAGTGTTTGAGAGAGGTTATTTTGTTGAGTGTAGTTGTGCAGTTGTTTTTGTTCCTGAAAGCGCAGAGACGCACTAGCGTTGTCTGTCGTCGCATTGGGAACAACAGAGAAGGATGATTCCATATAGTGGGTGAGATGGCAATGATGCTGTTTCAATGTGGGATCGTACAGTTGTATGGCGAATGATGAATTGAAGTGATAATGTAATGTGGTATTGATGATTGTTTGTGTTTCTAGCGACGTGTTTGTTTGCGTGATAAGTGTAAGAGGGTTTAGTTTATTGTGTGTGTTTGTGTGTGTGTGTGTGTGAATGACGTGGTGTCTGTTGATTGTGTTGTTTGTTAGTGTTTGAGAGAGGTTATTTTGTTGAGTGTAGTTGTGCAGTTGTTTTTGTTCCTGAAAGCGCAGAGACGCACTAGCGTTGTCTGTCGTCGCATTGGGAACAACAGAGAAGGATGATTCCATATAGTGGGTGAGATGGCAATGATGCTGTTTCAATGTGGGATCGTACAGTTGTATGGCGAATGATGAATTGAAGTGATAATGTAATGTGGTATTGATGATTGTTTGTGTTTCTAGCGACGTGTTTGTTTGCGTGATAAGTGTAAGAGGGTTTAGTTTATTGTGTGTGTTTGTGTGTGTGTGTGTGTGAATGACGTGGTGTCTGTTGATTGTGTTGTTTGTTAGTGTTTGAGAGAGGTTATTTTGTTGAGTGTAGTTGTGCAGTTGTTTTTGTTCCTGAAAGCGCAGAGACGCACTAGCGTTGTCTGTCGTCGCATTGGGAACAACAGAGAAGGATGATTCCATATAGTGGGTGAGATGGCAATGATGCTGTTTCAATGTGGGATCGTAGAGTTGTATGGCGAATGATGAATTGAAGTGATAATGTAATGTGGTATTGATGATTGTTTGTGTTTCTAGCGACGTGTTTGTTTGCGTGATAAGTGTAAGAGGGTTTAGTTTATTGTGTGTGTTTGTGTGTGTGTGTGTGTGAATGACGTGGTGTCTGTTGATTGTGTTGTTTGTTAGTGTTTGAGAGAGGTTATTTTGTTGAGTGTAGTTGTGCAGTTGTTTTTGTTCCTGAAAGCGCAGAGACGCACTAGCGTTGTCTGTCGTCGCATTGGGAACAACAGAGAAGGATGATTCCATATAGTGGGTGAGATGGCAATGATGCTGTTTCAATGTGGGATCGTACAGTTGTATGGCGAATGATGAATTGAAGTGATAATGTAATGTGGTATTGATGATTGTTTGTGTTTCTAGCGACGTGTTTGTTTGCGTGATAAGTGTAAGAGGGTTTAGTTTATTGTGTGTGTTTGTGTGTGTGTGTGTGTGTGAATGACGTGGTGTCTGTTGATTGTGTTGTTTGTTAGTGTTTGAGAGAGGTTATTTTGTTGAGTGTAGTTGTGCAGTTGTTTTTGTTCCTGAAAGCGCAGAGACGCACTAGCGTTGTCTGTCGTCGCATTGGGAACAACAGAGAAGGATGATTCCATATAGTGGGTGAGATGGCAATGATGCTGTTTCAATGTGGGATCGTAGAGTTGTATGGCGAATGATGAATTGAAGTGATAATGTAATGTGGTATTGATGATTGTTTGTGTTTCTAGCGACGTGTTTGTTTGCGTGATAAGTGTAAGAGGGTTTAGTTTATTGTGTGTGTTTGTGTGTGTGTGTGTGTGTGAATGACGTGGTGTCTGTTGATTGTGTTGTTTGTTAGTGTTTGAGAGAGGTTATTTTGTTGAGTGTAGTTGTGCAGTTGTTTTTGTTCCTGAAAGCGCAGAGACGCACTAGCGTTGTCTGTCGTCGCATTGGGAACAACAGAGAAGGATGATTCCATATAGTGGGTGAGATGGCAATGATGCTGTTTCAATGTGGGATCGTACAGTTGTGTGGCGAATGATGAATTGAAGTGATAATGTAATGTGGTATTGATGATTGTTTGTGTTTCTAGCGACGTGTTTGTTAGCGTGATAAGTGTAAGAGGGTTTAGTTTATTGTGTGTGTTTGTGTGTGTGTGTGTGTGTGAATGACGTGGTGTCTGTTGATTGTGTTGTTTGTTAGTGTTTGAGAGAGGTTATTTTGTTGAGTGTAGTTGTGCAGTTGTTTTTGTTCCTGAAAGCGCAGAGACGCACTAGCGTTGTCTGTCGTCGCATTGGGAACAACAGAGAAGGATGATTCCATATAGTGGGTGAGATGGCAATGATGCTGTTTCAATGTGGGATCGTACAGTTGTATGGCGAATGATGAATTGAAGTGATAATGTAATGTGGTATTGATGATTGTTTGTGTTTCTAGCGACGTGTTTGTTAGCGTGATAAGTGTAAGAGGGTTTAGTTTATTGTGTGTGTTTGTGTGTGTGTGTGTGTGTGAATGACGTGGTGTCTGTTGATTGTGTTGTTTGTTAGTGTTTGAGAGAGGTTATTTTGTTGAGTGTAGTTGTGCAGTTGTTTTTGTTCCTGAAAGCGCAGAGACGCACTAGCGTTGTCTGTCGTCGCATTGGGAACAACAGAGAAGGATGATTCCATATAGTGGGTGAGATGGCAATGATGCTGTTTCAATGTGGGATCGTAGAGTTGTATGGCGAATGATGAATTGAAGTGATAATGTAATGTGGTATTGATGATTGTTTGTGTTTCTAGCGACGTGTTTGTTAGCGTGATAAGTGTAAGAGGGTTTAGTTTATTGTGTGTGTTTGTGTGTGTGTGTGTGTGAATGACGTGGTGTCTGTTGATTGTGTTGTTTGTTAGTGTTTGAGAGAGGTTATTTTGTTGAGTGTAGTTGTGCAGTTGTTTTTGTTCCTGAAAGCGCAGAGACGCACTAGCGTTGTCTGTCGTCGCATTGGGAACAACAGAGAAGGATGATTCCATATAGTGGGTGAGATGGCAATGATGCTGTTTCAATGTGGGATCGTAGAGTTGTATGGCGAATGATGAATTGAAGTGATAATGTAATGTGCTATTGATGATTATTTTTTCTTTTATTGAGATGTTTCTTTTGAGTGTTCACTCTGTGAATTTACAGTTGATGATTTGTCTTTTTCTTTGCTTTTTCTTTGTCTGTTTTTTTGTTTTAGTGGTTTTGGTTTGCGGATTTTTTTGATGGTTTTCTTTTGTTTCATATTGGTGTTTTTGTGTTTGTTTAATATTTATTTTTCGGATTATCGTTTCTTTTATATTTGTGATTTTGTGTTGTTTTTGGGTTAATATTTTCATTAATTTTGTGGCCATAGGTATTGTTTTTTTGTTGTGTGTTTGTTTTCGCTTCATCCTTCTTGGTATTTCTCATTGGTAATTAGCTGTTTTGAAGTTTGTGCGCTGTATTTTCGTTAATTTGGTTAATATTTTTATTGCATCACATTTTACTTTACTTGATTGTTATTCCAACGAATATGTGTCAGTGATTATTTTATTTTTCTCACTTTTCCCTTGTTTATTTACTTTTCAACTATTTTGTTTATATATATTACTGGTGTTTTTATTCTGATGTTCACTTTAGGTTTATTTTCAATTTAAGAGAAATAAAGAAAATGTTTTCTATATCAAATCTTATATTTAGAATAGTTTTAATATATATGCTGTATAAAATAATATACATTGGTTCATGATAATGTTTGTCTTTGTTCTTATGGCTAACGTATGATGGAGTCTATTTGAAGCGCTAACTAGTAATTGTAAACCTTTTTGATTCTTTGATTTGTGCTTATTGGTATGTTGTAGCTGTTGAAGTCGTTTGTGTTTAGTCGTCGAATACTTCACATTTGTTTCTAGTGCAAATAGTTTGGACGATTGTTTAACCATATTAGACGTAGATATATAATTGTAGTTAACCAAAGTTCTATAATAGAAAGGAAAAACAGAACATTTTCTAAAAAAAAACTAGGAATGTTAAGTACTAAGTTCAATACTCTTTATTCGAGTCATATATACGCGGTAAAACAGAAGCTAAGTAAATGTGAATGTGTAGGTCGGACTTCATTTTTAAAAGCTTGTGTAGAATAATGCAGTGATTAGTAATGTCATGTAATTAATACTATAGCTGTTGTAGTTTCTCTATTTATCCTTTGTCATTTAAGCCACAAACAGTACATACACTAACTCCCACTGTATTGTAAACGTTGTCACTAACATATCAAAATTTTCGAGCCTCTAAATTCAACTATCTGAATATAGATGCGTAGTCCAAGTAATTGCAGTTTTTATTCGTTAGTATATGTTGCGATATGTAATAAGTTCTCACATACACTTCATTTTCATTCTTAATGAATGTAGAGCCAGATTCGAATCTGCATTAATATATGTTGCCACATCTCTCCACAGCGATATGAAATCAACGAACATCGGAGTGTTACTAAAAATAGGAATGAATGAGACTAAACATAGGATAATACGTTTAGACCAGTAGAACGTAGTGGATTAACTTATGAGATTTTTAGGAATGATGGTTCAGTTTTATCAGTTATATTAACCAAAATCTGGGAACTAGATCTAGTCCCATCTGACTGGTCTCAATCTTTGATCGTTCCAGTTTATAAGGAAGGGCAGAAATCCCTTTGTGGCAATCGCAGAGGAATCGGTTTAACAAATATATTGTCTAAAATATCAGCCTCGATAATACTTTGATGTTTAACTATAGAGAAAACCAAACCAACTGTTCACCCTTCGGCAGATTCTGGGACATAGACGCTTTTCGCTGTTTGACGATATTTGTATTCCTTGACCTTAAAATATCGTTCGACTCCGTTGATCGTGAGGTTCCGTGGCAGTGTCTACTACTGAAACATGTACCAATGAAACACATTAACATTGTACAGGCTCTCTACTCGAACATCACCGGTCGATTCAGAGTTTATGATGAACTTTATCGAAATTGAATATTTTAAGTGGTGTTCGTCAAGGTTGTCCGCTTTCCCCACTGTTATTTAACTTTCTCATAAATATGCTTTTACAGATAACGCTCTCATCACCTGACTTTTCAGGGAATGATGTATTTGGAAGTTCACTTGTTGACATTGAATAGGCAGATGATATAGTTTTGTTTGGTGAAGATGCTGACAAAATGCAAAGTATTCTGACCACCTTAGGCAACAATCCAAGCATGCTTGGCACACATTCAGATGTCTGGATTGGATTTCGCCAACTTGCATCACTTGTGGCGTAGGTGAGATATCCATATCCCAATCAAAGGGCCAGTTTACTGCTCAGTAGTTCACTTCGTTCTACTTAATGGGTGTGAAACATGATGATATAGAGTAAGGATACTCGTAGGTTACTAGTATTCGATAATCAGTGTCTATGAGGCATTGCTCGTGAATTTTGAGACCACCTAGTTTGAAATTCTTAATTTAGGAATAGAGTACTAGGTAAAGATGGGAAATCGATTGATAAGGCAGTAAATCTCCATCAGCTGAGGTGATTGGGACATAATGTTGCGTATGCTCTACTACCTCCTACTTCGACGGAGAATGTATTCTGGTGCAGGAGTAGGCTGGAAGAAAGCTAAAGGCGGCCAAGCCATAACACGGTATCAGTCCATAAAGTCACTGGCAGTTCGACTGACCTATGTTGATAGACCACCTGGATGGGGTCCGTGTAATTATCATAACCAATCGTTAGAGTTTGAATGATGGCTCAAAATCTCTTGCGTTAGCACAAGGGCATCTATCATTTGTCTTCTCCCGAATTCCTCATAACTTTTTGTCAAATAAACTAATTAATGTGTTTATAACAATCTACCCAATGCTCAATTTATTCGAAATTATCAAATCAAACCTTAGTAATGATACTTGCATAACTTTTTTGTCTCACGAATTCGTATTTTTTTCAAATTGTGTCTTTGATTCCTAACATTTCCTGTTACCAGTGATACTGTTCCTGACCGTTGCTGCTACCTAAAAGTGGTGGTTGGGCTTGCCTATCGTGATGAACCCATCAGGCTATACTAGATGGGACAATCGTTTATCAAGGTCCTACCATGTCAGACACGTCGGTTGAAGAACGGTAAGACCAAAACTAGAAAACTCAAGGTGCGAGGGCTAAATCGTACTACTGACTGCACAGAGTTGTGACAGCAGTAAAGTGTTTCCCTCAGACAACCGGCATAACAGCGATGCTGCCTCCCCACAAAGGAAGGGTTGGGTTAGGAGAGGTCAACCCTAAGAATTTTCACCTCACCTTATTACACGCATTTATGTCTCCGACGATGAGGTTTCAACAATTACGGGGCCAACACAAAAATTGCCCGGGATCATGCAGTTGTCCCTTGGGCACTGCCTTCACGCTCTCGGATCACTAAAACCAACTTCTGTTCAATTTCCTTTCCAGGTACTCCTAGAAAAACCCACTGGGTGAGAAACCGGGAAGGGATAACCACCCTCATATCTCTAACAGCACTCAAGATTACCACTGTATTCATAATCAGTTTCCTTCTTCAGTTTCTGTTATTCCTCCTGCTTTGACTTTCATCTATAAACTTCTCCAAGTTTCACCATAGCCAACGATTCTAGTGCGCGAAATACTGTCCCAAGTCTACTGAAATTCCTCTACAAACTACACATTGAAGCCTTCAATGTACGTACCTTGTGTGAAGTCGGTCGGCAGCTTTCCTTGAATACGACCATAAGATCTCATACGATTGATGTATGCTGTTTCCGAAACACGCGTACGAGATCCTAGCGTATTCATTCATTTGACCTTACCTCGCCAAAACGGAGAGCCGACGAGATACACCCGCCGAGTATCTGGCGACCCGATGGCTAGTTCTCGTGGACTGGCGGGTGCAGGTATAGCACTAAGTTCGAGGACAGAACAAGCACTATTAAGATGGATCCTGTTAACAGTCTTCTATGTGCTCCTCGGTTAAACAACTCCGTAAGAATTCGGAAGGATAGAGACACACGTCGTTTCTGCCTACACTCCCACTGACTGCAGCTCGAATGAAGTGAAAGATAACTTTCTGAGCTTCTTCAGAAAGCTAGACGCTCAGACATAGTACTCGTAGCAGGTGACTTTAATGCCCAGATAGGTAGCTTAAGCCAAACAGAAAGACATTTAGATGGGTGTTTTAGTATTCCGGTTAAGCGAACAGATAATGGTGATCGCCTACTGCAACTGTGCTTAGACAATCGTTTATTTTTGGCAAACACAAATTTTAAGCATAACGAGAGACATTGTCTAGCATGGCGACCCTCTGCAACAAACCAACGGTGGACTCAAATAGACCATATTGCCATCAGTCATCGTTGGAGAGGTTCGACAGAAGACTGCCGATCGTTCTGGAGTTCATGTTTTGACTGGGATCATGCTCTAATACGAGAACACATTTGCTCGCGCCTCACTGAACGCAGAAAAGCCACACTAAGAAGACCCATTATAATTGAATCGAATGACAAGAAAGTTGAAAGTCGATTCTAGGAACAACTGAGGTCACATTTAGGCAATTCTGAAGACGAGGCTGACCCAGGTGTTGCTTGAAGAGATATACAAACAGCTGTGGAAACAGCAGTGACATCTATTATTGATTTGAACCAAAGGATTACGAAAAACCATCAACTCGTCCCATTAGGCTCTGAACATGATGACGAGTGAAAACAAATCAGATCTAGGCTAACCAGAAGTCTACGGAACGATCGTGAGTAGTGGTGGGCAACGAAAACAAAAGAGATTGAAAAGACAGCAGCTGTAGGTAACACCAGACAGCTTTTCAGACCAATAAAAAAAACGGAATTAAGAAGTCAAGTGTAAGTGAAAAAACGCGGCACTATTATGTGCTCTCATTCCAGGCATTAAGAACGATGAGTGGAACATTTTAATGGGCAGTTCAGCTACTTTACAACTACCCACCATTCCCAGACAGCCTGAACGGAACATTAAAGTAGGTCTCCCGACTCTAGCTGAAGTTCGAAAAGTTATAGCTAGTCTGAAACGAGGAAGGGCATTTGCTACAGATGGATTGGCTCCAGAAGTCTTTAGGAATGGTGGTCCAATTTCAGTGATTAGGTTGACTAATATTTTAGCTAAAATCTGGGAGTTAAACGTTATCCCATCTAACTGGTCGCAATCACTTATCGTCCCAATATATAATAAAGGGTCAAAATCATCCTGTGACAACCACAGAGGGATTAGTTTAACAAATATAGTATCTAAAATACTAGCCTCGATAATTATCAGACGCCTAACTAAGACTCGTGAACTGCAAACTCGAGAGAACCAAGCTGGCTTCAGACCTGGTCGTGGCTGCATCGACCACATATTCACCATTCGTTAGGTTCTAGAACACAGGCATACTTATCGACGTCCAACAATGGTGGTCTTTATCGACTTAAAAGCAGCATTTGACTCTGTAGACCGCGAAACTCTGTGGCAGTGTCTGTCATTGAAAGGCGTACCTCAGAAGTACATAAACCTTGTGAAGGCTCTTTACTCGAACACCACTAGTCGAGTCAGAGCTTATGGCGAACTGTCATCTGCTTTTGCAACCTCAAGTGATGTCCGTCAAGGCTGTCCACCTTCTCCATTTTTCTTCAACTTCATCATAGACCTACTGATGGAAATAACATTCTCGTTGACTGAATTTTCGAGCATTGATCTCCTTCCAGGAGGTTCACTTATCGACTTAGAATACACAGATGATTTAGTCATGTTTGTTGAAAACTGATAAAATGCAGAGTCTTTTGGTAGCACTAAGCAACAATGCCAGTATGTTTGGAATGCGTTTCTCTCCCTTTAAATGCAAGTTGTTGCTTCAGGACTGGTCTGCGTCAACACGTGAACTAAGGATAGGGAGTAAAGTAGTAGGACCCTTTGAAACCTTCACTCATCTTGGAAGTCTGGTCAGCCCTAATGGATGGTATTTGACGAAATCTCGGCGCGGATTCGAAAGGCTCGTTTGGCTTCTGCCAACTTGTATCACCTATTTCAAAGGCGAGATATTCGTCTCTCATTAAAAGGACGAGTATACCGGGTGATAGTTCGTTCTGTTTTACTTTGAGGCTGCGAATCAAAGCCATCAAGAGTAGAAGATATTCGTAAGTTACCAGAATTTGATCACACATGCCTTAAAAATATTGCTCGCATCTACTGGGATCACGGGGTAAGTAATAGTGAGGTTAAACTCAGGGTATTAAGGAATGATGGTAAGTCAGTTGATGAGGTTGTGAATCTTCATCAACGGAAATGGTTGGGCCACGTGTTGCATGTGCCTGAAAACCGGTTACCACAACGCACAATGCTGACTAGTGTAGGAGATGGTTGGAAGAAAGTTAGGGCAGCCAAACCAAAACGTGGCATCAGTGCTTGAAGTCACTAACTTCTAGTCTGAGCCATGTTGGTAGATACAAATCTCTTGGTTGGGGTCTATGTGACTATAGTAACCAATGGTTGGAGACTCTTGGTGACATGGCTCAAAATCGATCAAAATAGCGTAGGCGTATATACTCTTTGTCTTCCCTTAAACCATGAGATTAAAACTACTTTATATCTTTCTTTCTACGGATTAATTTTTTCTTCCTGTACCATATCCTTATTATTTTTCCGGTTAGCTTGGGACCGGCAGTAACTCTAGAAGAGCTACAGGTCCTCAAATACAACACGGAGAACACCAATCCAATCACTCCTGATGGCGAAACTATGGAAGATGTAGAATCCTTCGCGTACCTGAGAAGCATCATCGACGAACAAGGAGGATCGGATGCAGATGTAAAGGTGAGGATTGGTAAAGCAATGGCCGCATTCCGTACGATCGAAGAACATATGGAACTCCAAACAACTTTCAACCAATATAAAAATCAGAATCTTCAATACGAAAATCAAGACAATTATACTGTACGGAGCTGAATTGTGAAGAACTACTACAACTATCATCAAGAAGGTACAAGTATTAATAATTTGTTGTCTACGCAATATACTCAACATCCATTGCCTGGATATAATCGGTAACAGCCTTCCGTGGGACAGAACAAACCAGCTTCCAGCTGAAGAAGAAATTAGGAAAAGACGATGGAAATGGATAGGATATATATTACGCAAATCATCAAACTGCATCACGAGGCAAGCCCTAACTTGGAATCCTGAAGGGAAGCGGAAAAGAGGAAAGCCGAAGAACACACTACGTCGGGAAATCAAAGCAGATATGAAAAGAGTGAATAAAGACTTGAAAGAGCTGGAAAGGATTGCCCAGGACAAGGTTGGATGAAGAGTGCTGGTGGACAGCCCATACTACTACACGAGGGGTAACAGGCGTAAGTAAGTAAGTAATCGTATCCTTATATGAAATGTTAATTTTGTGCTACCATTGAGATAACTGTGTCTATAAATTTCGTGTTGATCTTTTGCTAATGAAGTGTAGCAACTTGAGCCCATGAATATATGAGCCTAGTCCTACATTGTTGCTGACTGACTGATACTGACATTACCTCTACTATCCTGGAATTTGTCGTGACAACTTCATCCTTCTGTGCTAATGGGTATGGGAACTTGGATCGATGTACATACGTACAGATTCTTTGTTGTGATTGACTATTAGATCTTGTTTTATAACCCCCAAGTAATGCACAATAAACTGGTTCGCAGTATGCTCACTATTTGAAGTCATCCAAATTAGCAAAAGATGAGCAAGCTTTCTAAACTTACTCTGAGATGCTTTGAGCTATCAATCCATGTGGGCTGATGAGACTTTTAAAACAAGTAGCGCTGATGACCTCCTCGACTGTTTCTTTATCATTAGTTTAGAGAGTTGACGCAAATAAATCTTGGGTCAAAATTGTAAGGTTAAAAGGATAGAAGTGTATCGCATATATGTTGTGTCGTTCCTGAATCTGTTCAGAAGTCTTTAAAAACTGGTTTTCATCAAGCGGAACTATTGTCTACGTATTTTAAGTCATCGAATGTGTTTCGCGTTAGGTGATCACCCTTCAAAAAGTCTGATAAAGTTATGTAAGTGTGGGAATCTCTGATGACGTTGCCTATTTTTATGCCGATTTTTAATAAAGCTTAACATTACGGTTGTCATTTTAATAAAAAGCCAACAAATTTAGGTAATTTTATAGTAGACTATGCTTCTATGAAACCACTTAATCAATATAGTTATGTGTTGCATTGAGGTCTTGGAACACGTTCATGTCTGGGTACCAGTCGTTATGTATGTCCGAAAGCCTGACGAAAGATTTAGCAAACACATCTAAGTCTAGGTATGAATCCTACTAGCTTTCCAGGTGTTTGCTTTTCTGAAGCTCCATGTAGTGATTGGAAGATTGTGGAAGCCAATATTTTTGTCAATGTTTGTTAAGTGGAATCCTCTGTTATTGCTGCAAAAGGATTTTGACATTTTTTTCAAGGTGGAACGATTAAGACCAGCCAGATAGAATCACTCACAGCTCCAAAACTGTAATTAGTATCTTAGCCGCCTTAACTGGCAGTAGTGAACTACTCTCTTGGAAGAGTTCTAGAGTTAATCTATCAGGTCATTCTCTTCTACTTTGCTTCAAATTAGATATGGATTTTTCAACCTCACTAAGGTTTGGAGGACTCATGTGAATCTCCCACTATGATTGGTTGAGATGAGGTGGGTAATTAAAGATTAGCTAACGGGCTTCTGGATATTTGCTTAAGTTTTTATGGGCTTCTTTCCAATCTCCTGAACTAAGTGTTGATCATTTCATGTGAAGTTAGACCGTTAAAGCATACCAAACAATGTCAGATCATCGTATAATTATGACTTCAAATTGTTTAAGTTCATATTTATGGGGACACCACAATCAGTTCAAAATGTTGTGTCGTAGACGCATGAATTATTTGGAATAGCAGGACAGTTATATGTGACCTTTGACCGTAATAGAGTTTGATGGCTACAAATATCCACATTTTAATACTTTATTTATTCACTTAATGAATTCGAATTGTTTTTCAAGTAGTGTAAATTAATTATGTAAAATGTGTACCTTGGTTTAAAGTCTTCGATTTTAATCCATGAGTTGTCAAATTTCACGTATTTCGGCCGAAATTCGGGGACATCTTGTTCTCTGATAGGAAATATGCCATCGTTCAGTTCTATTTGTTTCCTTGATAAACAAAATACTGTAATTATTAGAGAAAATATATCTTCACCAATCGCAATATTTGCTTGTTAACTTTTCATCAATAAAGTAACTTTATCGCCTGTAATCAAATAAATAATTTCAGAAGGGGTTTTGTGGAGATTTTAGTAATTTCAACAGTTGAGATTATGAGTCAATTGAAGCTAGATCACCATGGGAAACCTGGGAGTACTGGACGGCCATTTCATCCCATTGTGGGACTCGTCAGCAGTGCGCATCCTTTACCCCGCCTCACGAAGTTCAACAGGGGCAGTTCTGAGTTAGTAACTCACTGATGACAATGGTGGATTTGTCGCTCAACTTCGTGGAGTGGTTGAAGCTAGACATTAACACAGGTGGATGCAGAAACATCAATAATCGATGACTTTGAGATCACTTGTATACCTTTATTTAGTCAATATGCATAGCATTAAAAAAGTTTAAATTCGATCCGATAAACAAGTAACAGGAATCTATGAGTGGAATTCATCTGTTATTTTTGCCAAATTAATTACAAGTCAAAATAATTTGGTATATATATAGCTGATGTGAATATCATTGTTTAGAATGTTGGGTTGACTATGTAATAATCCCGTGGATTTTTAGTGTCATAAATTTTGCTAACATTCGTCGTATAGTATATGCTTTTATTTGTGAATGAAAATTACTTGAGTAGTTTCTATGTTCGAGGGATTAAAATAACAACAAACAAGTAACTCGTGCGCATATATACAATATAAAAGTGTCACAAAACAGTGTACTAAAAGAGAAAACTAACCAGTGATGTTTAAGTTTCTATCAGGTGGGAAATACAAACTAATAGTAAAATGGGTGCTTTTGGCTAGAGAACGATAGGTTTAAAATTTCCACTAATAAATAACAAAAATGATAAGTTTATCCACTAATTTCTGGGAATCTAGCATTCTCTGAAGTAGTGCAATGGCAACATGACTGGAAGCCTTTTTATATTATAGATCTTTCTCTACGGATACTTCAAAACTAATCCACTTATTTCTCTCTGAATGACTTAGTTTTAAGCACAGTGGCATGTCATCAGTTAATAAGAAAATTGTCAATACATATTCTGTGATTCATTAAAGAGATATGACCTTGTATAGTCTAGCTCATCTATTATTCTTTGTTGTATTTTAAATGAGAAAAAGTCAAATGTTGTTAGTGAATTAGGAAGTCATTGAATACTGTTGTGACTGGTAATAACCAACTGTAAATAAGATATACTACTTATAAAACTTGATTTGATTTAACAGTCTATAAAATACATTGAATCTTTATTTGCATATAAAGAAAAATTTCAGATTATTACTTCGTTAATCAAAGATACGACTATATAGATTCAATGTATTATTCTGTTATATTGTACAGGTTAAATTAACTTCTTTTTCTACTAATAAATATTTATTTATGAATGTATAACTTATTCACTTACTTCGACATTTTGTCGAATTTTTCAAATTTTAATGGTTTTTCTGAAATTTCACTTATTCTCACTTCACTTCTCATTGTATTCTGTTGTGGAACTGGAATAATGATGTAACCAGCTTTACGTAAATGATCAATAATTGTCTCTCCACTTCCTATAAAATGTGCTGTAAAATAAAAAAATAAAAAAAATAGATAAATATTGGAAATAAACATTTTCATTATTTTAACAATAACAATTAATTCTCTTAATACAAAGATCTTTCATTTTAATGGCATAAATTCAATACTTTCTATAGGAAATATTACCTAGTAAATTCTCTTCTAAAGGACCATATAAGTTTATGGTATGTACAATTTTTATTTACAAGTTATGATATTAAAGTTGAAAATAAGGATAAATAAATTGATAGTTGTAGGCGTGGTGTATGCTACTTATGTTGACAGACATAAGTAGTATGTAACATCAATCAGAAGTGGGTTATCTGTGAACAGAAGGTTGAGAAGATTGAAATAAAAAGAATAAAAAAAGGAACTGGTAGCAATCAAGATTACAACAATGATGAAGGAACAATCATGTATTTAATATATATATCCTAATGAGTATAAAAGTTGCATTTATCACGTTTCGTGACTTAATGTAAGTCACTTCAGAGTAAATAAAATTTGTGATTTTCAAATTTTGCTAAGCCACTGTGTGACTGTTTATTCTACCTCAAAGTGTTCATTTACTACTTAGGGAGTGAATTATAATGAATACATTGATAACTTGAATCAAGCTATAGGTAAAATTATATTCGGAAAAAGATAATCAGAATAAATGTAGGCAAATTAGTTTGAGAATAAAAGATCATTAAGGGCCAGATGTTTGAAAAATGGTCATTTGATGAATGAGCCTATTTGAATCAGCTAAAGGATGGTGGAAAGTGGAGTAAGTGGTTAGAAAATTGTTCAAATATGTGAGAAACATTGAAATTTAGGGGACTCCCGTTGCAGAAATATAGAAGTGGGAAAAATGACGTATATCAGGTTATTTGAAATCATTGGAAACCTACTGAATATAAACAAGACAAGGTAATGAAAAAGTTGAAACCAATTTCGAGTAGTCATTGGCACTGGTATTTAAAGGATTTTTACTAGCGGCTCAGTTTTGTTGTCAAGGCGTTTACTGAGTTTCGAGATCAGTTTCTAATTTCTAATAAAGAAAATGTGTGAAGTAAGAATCATTTTTTGATCAGTATGTGATAGTCAACTTCATTTTGACAGTCCTCATATGATTTGGGATCTTAATTCTAGGCTGGTATCATGTTTTTATCTCTAAATAGTGTGAAACAACTTCAAATTTTGACTTAATTTGATTATTTGTTGGAAATTAAATGATCCAAATAAAAATAATATAAGATTTTAGTGATAGTTCATTTCTTACTAGTGTTAATTACCGGTGATTTTAAATGCTTGTTAAGTTGATTTCGTTAAAAGTTCTCCTATTTAAGTAGAAGCCTCAAAATTATGTGAGCATGATTACGTGGATTGTGGCATCGGAAAATCATGACTTCAATCCCATTGGAGGTTATCAGTGATTAACGATAAACATATAAAAAATTGAAGGAAACATTATTTTGTTATTTAAATTGTTTTTTCATCTGTTACTTTTCTTAGTTAGTGTTGATTTTAAATTTATGCAAAGAAACAAGACCGTATTTTTAGTCCGGGAAGGAGAAATGCATGAATAAAAGGATAATATTTAATTTAATGTAACTGATTGACGGTAACTAAGGAACCAATAAAATTACAAATAACCGGGTGGATGTTTCGTCGTGGGAAGCTTATTTCACCAGGAGGCGAACTCAGGATCTTAAGCTTTTGAGGAGAGCACCCTACTTTAAAACTAATGAAATGCAATCCAATAATTACATTCTCAATTTCTGCCGGTTTTTGGCCTAGCGCCACTGTCATCAGTAATGATTATTTCGCTCCCCACACGGTTGAACTCCACTGGTGATAACTTCTCATCAGAGCTCCGGTAGTCTATCTTGAAATTGGTCACTATGTGAACACAACTATTAATTGATTGGATAGAATATGGATATAGATTTAATGAGACGTTATATAGAGATAAATTGTTTCAGTGTAGGATGAAGAAGCAATCCAATCGTCTCTTTTTCTATTCGTTCTCTAAATAATGTCAAATCGCGTTCGGAAACACCTTTACACTGAGACAGTGAAATCTAAAAAAAACAAGGTTACATTACCTGCGCCTAATGCAAAAAATGCCGATTGATTTAATGATTCAGCAAGTTTTAATTTACTGATTATCTCATGAGCCATTCGCTCATTACGTCTAACTATCAGTTCTTCATTTAAATACTTCTCCAAATCAATAAGCGTTTGAACTTGACTCGGGCTTAATAAGTTTGCTATTTGTTTGTCAATGAAGTAACTTGATGTTGATTGTGATGATGATTGGGTACGATAGTTATGTGGTTTAGAAATATTATTCACCTTGTTGGGAAATTTCTGTTGTTGTATTGTGGCGTTTTTACGAATCATAGTAATGGGGGAAATTGTATTTGTTTCATCCATTGTTGTGTTGTAATCTGACGACGAAGTTGACAATAACACAGAATCTGATGGTGTAGTTTGTGTTAAAGACATTCTAGATAATGTTTCATTCAAATCACCGCAATTATAATGTTCAATTAATTGTTCTGTTGGACTACTGAATACATCTGTTTGTTGAATTGGTCTACGTTTTTGATTAGTAATTGATGTACCATTTATTTGTTCATTCCATGTATGGAATAAAACTTTTGTGTTTGATGTGTATTTTTTATCGCTACTGCTATTATGACTACTCACACGACCATTATGATTAACGTTGTTAAAATAGTTAGTCAAATGTTTCATAGGGTGATTAGCATTTTCTAAATTATTCAATGTGATCTCAAGTGCAAATGTTACCTGAAATAAAAGTTGATATAGTAAAACTTATGGAGGAAATAACTTTATAAGAAGCAAAAAATATTAATATTGTCTGATTTACTCTTTTAAGTTAAAAATTGAAGTTTGACTAGTAAGTAGTAACGAACATTGTGTTTACTTATTACTTAGCGTTGATTAGGTTGGAATATGGTCACCTGTTAAAGTGATTCGACATGATGTGCACTATATCTGTGTGTAAAATGGTTCGACGGAATTAATAAGAAGCCATGGACTTATGTTTCATGGTAGTTGGCACGCTTCGGTCAGGTATGTCTGCAATTTTGTAGAAAGAAATACTCTTCGTGCGGTTAGAACCTACGTCATTTAGTGTTCTAGTCAGATATATCACAAGTAATCTATTGCAGTTGATTAATTGTAACCTCTCCCAAAGTCTTTGATACCATGTCATTGATTTATATGTAAACATCTTTTTGGAAAAGAGGTTGTGGTTTGTGCTAGTGATGTCAACAGATATAAGTAGTATGTATCATTAGTCGGAAGTGAAATGCCTGGTGATAGGAGGTTAAGAAGATCGAAGAAAATAGAATGAGAACAGAGAACGACTGGTGTGTAAGCGAAGAAACAATGAAGTCTGAGACGATTGATTGGTATTTTGCAAATGAAGTATTTACTATATGGTTCTCAGATTTTACCAAGATATTCTACAATGTTTCACTGAGATACATTTGGTTGTCACCACTGGTGTCCTCGTTCACTACAAGGTGAATATTCAATATTTAACTAGAGGTGTTAGTTTAATGCTACACAAGCCTATATAAATACATACAGTCATATCTATTACATTAGGGCTCATACGTATCCATATTCTGAAGGGGATTCACAGTTTCATGTCGACGTTATCATCACTTTAGTTGTTGGTTTTTAAATAAACCGTTGATTTGATTGCGCTATCGAAAAAATATTCTATTTCACATCGTTTCAGTTATCACTAATTAACGTGTATTAATGAGAACTCACTTAAAAGGGAACAAGGAAAATTGTCGACATGAGTTCATTTTATCTACTTTCAAGTAACATTCGCATGATAAAAAATTTGGTAGATAAGTAATATCAGTGTTCTCATCTTTTACAATTGCCTATCGAACTTGCCGTCATAATTATTATTTACTCAGCTCTTCATAATTAAATTTATTAATAAATGTTATAAATATTTTGACCATACTTTGAATAGAGAACAGCAGTGAAATCCAGAACTCATATTTTATCTTGTTTGCGACTAACGGGTTAAGCGTATCTGGACACAGGTTGATTAAACTCAATTCTCAATGTTAAAAACAAGAATGTGTTAGCCGTTACAACTTTTCACCGTTTCTGTTTTCCAAAACATAAATTACAGATTGTTTTCATATCTTATCAACTCTTTATATTATATCATCACATTTTATCTGTTACAGTAGAAGTGAAATTATTCCATGTTCTTATCCAAATAATTTTTTCTCAACGGGATATTCTCATAGATTTCTGTTAAACGTCTATAGACTAATTAAATAAATTTCGTTTGATTAGAAATGGACGATTGACGTAATAGTACTGTTGATAAAACGGTACGGAATCCTATATACATTATATCATATATTAGAATGAATAATATCTACCAGGTTTGTGGTTTGCAATTAATATTTCTATACACTTTTTAAAAGACTATTGTACTTCAGTAACTTATATCTTCTTTATATAGAAGGATTTATTTACATTTAGTTTCTTATTAAAATATTGTATTCCATCAAAAAAGGCTAGATTGTACTATTTGTTATCTTGCAGTATTTTTTAAGGTTAAATCCCTTAGTAACTAACTCTTTAGTTGAAGAACTTATTTAATTCATCCATAATCCTGAACATTGTTGAGCGAGGCAAAGAAACTAATCATTGAATTTGTGGGGATGGCCCACGGGTAAACTCGAGGAAGCTCTGGAAGAACCGAAGACATTCCATCTAAGCATCTGTTCGAGGAACATTCCAGAATCTCGACGTGTAGCTTCTCCATAGGGCAAAAGCTAAAGGCCACTGTATGCGGATTGGATGACTATGATGATGTTTTCGTTTTTAATTAAAAACTATAAATATCTGAGAGTTTTGTACCATATTTAACACTGTTTGGAACAAAATTCTTTTTCACTCGTCTTCTATCTTCTGGGAGTGTTCTAACGTCTGGATGCTTAAGTAGTACGCAGTATATCACGAATCTAGGCTCTAAATTTAACAGAATTTTCACCAATATTAGTTAAGGGTTGTATACATACTAAAGATGTACGAAATTCACTGGATATTGACTTATGATTTATTTCTCTTCAGTATTGCACTGCCTGTATTGACCATACAATACAATATGAAAGTTAAATTAAATGATTAGAAATTCTGCTTCACTATTTACTATTAGGTGGATGTGGGATGTTAAGAACACTGATATTTTACAAGTTAATGTTGATGAAGTTAGAAATTAATGTTACTAAACATTTTAATTAGAAGTCTTCGGTTTTATTTGTATTTCTCACACAAAACATTCTAATTATTTAACTTCGATAAGTAATTTTAATGATAGAGTTTAGCTGATATATTACTGTACTAACCGTAAAACGATTTATCTTATCATTAAATAGAACATTGAGAAACAAACTTATACAAATATATAATTACCTGATGAACATTTATTCGATTTAATGGTTCACATTGGTCATTTACTTGTTCCACTGCACCATGTTGTTTACCTAGTCGTTGGGCTTCTTGTGCTAGAAATAAATCCAGTACGGGTACACCTCGATCGAATATTTCACTTCTTGTTAAACTATTTAATAATAATAAAAGCCATATAGGTCTTTTTTCTTTCCAATCTTTTGTCAATGTCTCATATAAATATGATGCGAAAACTTTCTTTTCAGGTTCAATCCATACACTAATCATATGACGAAGGTTATTTAAATATCGATCTAAACGTTTAATTAAGTCTGGTTTAAGTAGATTTGTGATTGTTTGATTTTTAGGTAACACTTGGCAATCACTCAATTCAGCTAATGTAACGGGATTAGTTAAATCCAGTTCAAAATAGACAATATCTGATTGAGCAAAACTTGTTTTTACTACAGGATCAATTTGTGACCAAACATGTGTATAAGCTACATGTAATGTACCAAAAAGGAATGAAGTTGGCTTAGTGGAAATTTTCCATAGGAATGTATTTTTTGTTTCGAAGTACTCTAAATTATGAAAAGAATAATAAATAAATCAGATAAATGTTAGTTTCACATATTTCTAAACGAAGTAAATCTATGAAGTTTTATGCTTAAGAGTGTTCTGTACATTTAATCTAGAAAATTCTTATTAGGAGAGTTTAAGTTATTTAACTACTTAAACTTTTATCCATCAGATAATAGTTCTAAATCACTTGGATCGGCCAAGTTATGTTGCAAGTGTGATTAAAATACCAGCATATGATCGTGTACTAAGTTGTAATTTTCAGAATGTAAGGGTATTCCTACCATATATTTAAGTGCTGTATATAAAAGTTTACCAAAGATGATTGTAACAACTTGCTCTACTTAGTGATATATAAGTTGATAAAAATCAAATAGCGTAGAAAATTAAGAGGGAGTAGTTGTTCTTGTTTAAAATTTTTAGTGGAATATTGTTTGGTTGTGTGTTAAGTTCATAGACTTTACGTTACTGTAAATAGGGTATTGGCCATGACTATCGTCTACAAAATTAGTTTTGAAGAACATTTAATTCAAATTGGTTCTCGAAGAAACAATCCATTAGATTATTCAGTTTATCAATAATTAATAACAGTTTTTGACAACTTACCACTGACGTTGTAGTGTAAGGTAATGATTTATGAAATGAACCAAGATGGAATTGGAAAAAGGCAGTTTTAAGTAATATTTAATACACTAAGAACACTGCATAGTTGGAGACTACTAACGATTCTATAGCAGAGCAGTTATTGAGCTAGGAATCTTGGTTCCGGAGATAAGGGGCTATAAATAACCAATAAATGGTAAATTGGAAATGAACACAATGTTTGATTTTCTTTGGCTTCCTATGAAATAGATTATATTGTCACCATTTTTAGCCTTAATCCTAATGAAGATACCAGTTTTACTGATTATAAATCAGTTCTAGATGACGATCTAATCAATTATAGGAACTGCTTGTTAAAAACTATTATTCAAATCATCAAGATGTGAAAATGAAATAATTGGTGGGTATACTTTGTTGAAAATATTATTTGCTAGAATTAATATTATTCAATTACTACTATTTGTTTCCGCTCTTGTTAGGTTATTGAGAAGTAATGTATATCACTTTACTTATTTTATTACAAACTAAATTGTATTGACTAGGATTGAAAAGTAGGATTAATTACTGAATAGTTTGATGGAGTTGGTAAAATTTCATATTCTGTTGCTATACTTTTCTGCAACCCCTCCCAAGATACTGAGAATTACATTATGAACTCAAACTACGTCAAACGCTTTTAGATTAAAAGGGGAGATTTATATAAAATAGCTCATTTTAAAGGTTTGCGTTTAGAACTCAGCGCGACAGTTTCAAAGTTTGAACTTATATGCTTAGTTATGACTCAACAATTATGAATTAATTCCATGAATTTATTGTACTAACGAACTTGGGTTTGTTGCTTATTCGGTTTTGATTTTGTTTTATGACAAAGTTTATATTATCACATTTTATAAAATCTGGTGACACTATTTTCACAGAGAAAAGTTATCTCTATGAATATAAACAGAGAACTTGCATGTTACTTGATTTTTTTATTCACTTTTATGTCATGAGTAAAATCTTAACACTGAATACATTGATGACTAAGAAAAATATTCCTGAGTGTTTCGTAAATTATATACTCATAGAGGACATCATTATAACTAAATGGTGTTTATAGAACTCAAACTGATGGTTTTTACTTGATACAACATTCGGATACACTATAAAATGTTCTCTTCATTTTAAGTACTGAAAGAATTTGTCATTTCTCATACCACGAAATAATCTGGCTAGACTAAATTTATGGACGACTTTCGAACGAATGTCAAGTGACTTTGAGAAATCTTAGTCAATCAGAAAACAGTGAGTACAATAAAAATATATTATACAAAACCAAAGAGTTACAGTGGATACACTTCCTTTACATGGTTCAAAAACTTGTCAAGGTTAAAAAGAGGTTCAGAGGTCCCAAGATCGTAATGCATGTGGTATAGGAGCTCATCCATGTGACTCCATAATAGTGGACCTCTAAAGCTATGATAAGGTCGCAAAAACTATTTCAGCCTCGACCACATAGCTTCAAGATTGTTTGTCATTTTTATTACTCATATGTCACTACAATACTCATAGCACTTAACAGCCGAAGCTTCAGTAACACTTGCGAATGTTGCAGACAGTGTTACTGGTGCTTTCATGATACTGTTCGCAACAATCTTCTATGAACCGATTGTACATGAGCATCAAGTACTGAAATTGGCTCCGTGACCTTGAAATCTCTCACATACTTCTGATTGGCTCGTCCTTAAATTATAGTCTCACCGTTTCCAAATTATACTCATGCTAACATTTGTAACCGGAAATCATAGTCTGAATATGGATCATTTTATATTTCATGATTATAAACGTTTTTCATTTCATCATTTATATATGAGTATACTTAATATCATATGTGCATGCAACAGGTAAATTTCTTACATTTTCTAGATCTAGTATTATTATAATTTACTGAAGGGGAATAAAATTCACTTCCGTAGTTATGAATTTTGTCTACTTGAAAAATATCAAATATTACCTTCCTTACAATTTAGTAATTTTTGTTTTAGTGAATTATAATAGGAATAAAACGTAAATTATTTGCGCTGAATTAATAATATATTTGTATCAAAATTAATTTTGATTTGGTTATTTATTCTCTGAAGAAGTGACTTAAACCAAGTCACGAAACGTCAGAAAATCTAATTTTTCTATTCATTGAAATATTACAAATATATTATTTATTTCTAACAATCTACTCAATGCTCAACTTATTCGAAATTATCAAGTCAAATTTTGGTGACGATACCTATAGGATTATATGTAAACTATATAAAGTAAAGAAAAGGTCAATCAGAATTGTTTCTATAGGTATACTGTATAAAGAATATTGTTATAGATATGTTTGATTGATATGCTAATCGGTAATACTCACTCTCTCTCTGAATTAGATTACTCTTTAAATATCATTTATGAATTGAGAATTGTAAATTGACAACCATAAAAACCAGTATTTACTGGACACTAGATTTATCATAAGAAATATGATGTTTGATTTATAAAACATTTATGTAAGTACGAAACATACTAGATGTTAGGTGGGTTTACTCATTTCTCCTTATTAAATCCGTCGAAAAGATTATGCTTCATGTAAACAGATGAGTACCTTTCTTACTGAACAAATGTGGGATTTTACTGGTATTTTTATAATTTATTTATTCATTGTCAGTTTAAATGGCTTTATGAAAGCTTTATATAGTTACGGGGTAGTATTAACTATTCTCTGCTAGAAGACTGTGGGAGATCAGAGAGCACTGTACAGATCTCATTTACAATTGCTCACCGGTCTGAGCCTTAGGTAGCTAATCATATTGTGACTGAGACTGCTATTCACTGATTGCGTTTTATGTGTATCGATTCATGTGACGAACTAACAGAAGTTTGAAATGTAGACTACTGAATATGTGATTTGGGGGTAGTATGATTATCTCAAAACCTAAAGATCATTACTTCGTTTAGAAGTGTACAGTGTTGAGAAGTTTTAAACTAGAATGAAAGCATTTTGAGAAATGAAAAATATGAAGCAATTCATTTGTCGAATAGATATTACTAATACCCTACGTAATAAGATATTTCTTTTCAACAGAGTTATTATCTAAATGTACATATATTGTTTGTGTTTTCTCACTGAGTTGATCTTTAAAGGTGTCAAGTATGTATGAACAAACAAATAATCTGATAACAGATTTGATAAGAAGCAATCATTGATTACTATTTACTATAATTATTCTCTATCCTTCATTTTATCCATAGAGTTATACCGTTAAGTCACCAAATGTTATATAGTTTTGTTTTAAAACATGGTAATAAAATAAAAAGTAAACATCGTTTCATTATAACCAAAATAAGAGATAATAATTAATTGCTTTGATTCAACAAATAATCCGTATCATTCTATTCTACTGAATTTGCAATTAGCAGTGAACTTCATAATTATAATAAACTAGTTAAAAATCTATGAAACATTACAGAAGTCTACTACTTTTATGCTTTTTGAACGTCAATAGAAACGACACTGATAAGCCCAAGTAAGTAAGTAAGTAATGTAGAGAGGTTAATGAAAAAACCGATATTATGAATCATGTAGTTACAATAATAAAAAGGATTTATTATATGATCGAAATAAGTTAAGCTGAGATAGAACTCACGAAAGTAATTTTTAATTGGCAAAATAGATTGTTGCACAAATACATTTTAAAAACCGAGGTTTAAAGGACAAATTGGGGGAATGAAAACAGTGTCCTTTTGAATCGATAATTCCTAATTACTCTATTTGACAATGATGGTTTCGGCAATATGTAATAGGAATTCTAAGATTCTTATGTGTTAACAATTATGTACGTCTATGAAATATAATTATTATGTCCTCTTGTAAGTAAAGGAATTAAATGTTTTTGAAAGATGTCTGTGAGATAGTTGTTATTCAAAATAGTTTTTCGGTAGAAGTAGAAAGGGAAGAATAAAGGTTATAGAATATTGCTAAAGTGGAGAAAAAACCTTTCTCTAAAATATTTGACTGGAAGGATGATAAAATATCTGGCAAGATTGATCTTACATTAAGGAGTCCTTTGGAAAGCCCTTATCCAGCCGTCAAACTTGTATCAAGATATCAAATAAATTGCTTGTTGAAACGTTCAAAAGTAGTTACACATTCACTTTACGTTACATGCTATTGTGTCTACCAGTTTACCCGTCCTGACAAAGAACATACATTGGAAAGACAGGAAGTAAACTCGTTTGACTGTTTTCTCAAGGTATTGTTCAGGAGAAATAATATCTTAAAAATGTTTACAAATAAACTTAATTACCTTGTATATTATGTATGTTGTTCTCTTCATCATCAGGCTCATCAGATTTACAAAATTTTAATAACAAATGAAGATAA